CGTCGTATAGGGGCCTTAATAATTAGAATAGGGTTTGGGGGTATATCATATTATATCTATAACAAGGAGCCCCCAAAACCCCATTGCAAGAATCAAGGCCCCTACATTAGTCATAGATCTTGAAGAAGGTGCCTTTCACAAGCAGATGACGACTAAACTACATTCTGCGCGGGAACGCCTGTCAAGACCGCCAAAAAGCCCTAAGCCATGCGTCGATGATTTCAGCAGAGTTTCAGGTGATCTGCGCCGGCTACGAGGATGAGATGGATGCCTTCTTCGACAGCAATCCTGGGTTTAAGTCCGAACCTCGGGGCTCTTTGTGGTGGTTTTGTTGTCCTGTTAAGGTTTTTGTTGCATGTTTTGTTCTTTGGTAAGGTCTTGTTGTTCTGTTTTCGTGTTTTTGGTATGTGCTGCTGTCAAGGTTGAGGGGGTTGGTAGGTGTGTTTTATCGGGGGGTTGAAGGTTTGGAGATTAAGCATCGAGGGTGGTGAGACTCTTTGGCTTGAAGTCTTGGGGCTATGTTGAAGAGAATCACTGCCCACGTATGGGGCCTTAGTAACTAGAAAAGGGGTTTGGGAGCTCCTTATTATAATTATGGTATAGTCGACCCCCAACACCCCATTCTAACGATGAAAGCTGCAGACAGAGAAGGTTCCTCGACTGATGGTGGAAACGGCAGGGGTTTGAGGGTCCATATACCCAAGTAGCTATAGGTTTCAGGTCGCGTATGCCAGACTAAAAAAAAGGGGTTTGTTGCCATTTAAAGCCCTCTTAAAGGTAGATGTTTAGATACTCAGGATGGCACTTTGATACCTAAACCGCTGCTCGCCGGATACTTGGACCTTCAGGAGGTCAGTGATGCTGTTTTACAGCATAATTATAGCCACAAGGGCCTGTTCAACTAGTTCTTCGGAGACCTATAGTACGGCCTAAGGTTTTTGAGCCCTCGAGCGGGTATACACACTACAGTTCCACCCAAACCCCACGCAGACAGTGGATGCTTCTTTGACCCTAAACCTCACAACCCTAAACCCTAAACCCTAAACCCTAAACCCTAAACCCCTAAACCCCTTAACCCCTAAACCCTATCGTCCGGCGCATCTGGTGTCTCATAGTTCCATCGGCAGCCTGCAGCCGTAGAGTCAGGCTTGAGTTTGTTGGGTTTAGGGCCTAAGTGGGTTCAGGGTTTAGGGTTTAGAGTTGTTGGGTTTAGGGCCTAAGTGGGTT